TCCGCAGCTTCTGTCACCCCTACCTGTCCACTGCCCAGGAGCTCAGGGGAAAGTAAGAGTCTGAAGAGCACCTGAGAAAGGAGAAAGAGGCATATGGCGGTAGGTCTGGGACCTACTGTGTGGCTTTTGTTCCCAGGAGATCCTGCTCGCCCTCAGCACTAAGGGGTTTTCCCATTTACAGGTCCACACTGGTTCTAAACCTCATTTTGGCACTTACCACCCAGGGGTCATCCAAGCAGATCAAAGAAGAGGAGATCAAAGTGAAAGGAAGGGATTTGAAGGAGCCTAATTGTTCTTCAAGACACATTGTCTTATCTCCATAGACTCAGTAGCAACTTAAGATGGGAAGTCCTGAAAATGCACACACAGACCCTTCTTCCTGAGGGCAGAGCTAGCAGACTGGAAAAGGAGATGTGGCTGCTCACTAGATCCAGCTGCCCTGGCTGAATCCCTCATATGAGTTGGCACCATGTATTTTCTGCACATTTGTTTCAGTGAACTATTTTGATAGCATGATGCCCATTTTACAGATGAGAAAACTAAGGGATAGAGAGATGAAGGGACTTGATTCAAACCATACAGCAAGTAACTGGTAATAGAAATTCCATGCCTCGTCTGTCTGATAGTGTGAAAAGAAAAAGAGATATGCCAGGTCAAATCATGGCTCCAGGTGAGATTAATACCTATTTCCCATTCTGTAGGTATATAGATTATAGAGAAGAAGGAAGGAGCAGAAAGAAATTGAATATGTTTTGCAGAAGGATTAAGAACAAGAATGTGAGTCATTTCTTCTCTCTCCAAAAAACTGCTGTCAGAGAAAACAGGCACTTCGGAACTTGAGTTCACATCTGGGCTCTGCCCACCTGAGAACTTGTGGGACTTTGGACCAAGTTATTTTAAGTCACTGAGGCTCCGCTTCCTCTCTTGCAGTGCAGGGGCAGGGATGCCCAACTCCCAAGGATAAAATGCACAGGCCCAAGGCAAGTCAAGCACAGTGCTTGGTACGTCACAGGCACCTGGGAGGGCCAGTCTCCTTCCTTTCTTAAGTGTCCTCCATCTAGAACTTCAAAAGTTCAATCTTAGGAAAATCAGGTCTACTAATAGTAAGAGTGAAATTTGCTGAACACTTACTGTATACCAAGCCCGGTTCTAAGCACCTTCTGTGTACAAGTTGACTCAGTGTTCACACCACCCTATGAAGGGTACTTGTGCCATCTTCACTTTGTACATGAGGAAGCGGAAGCCCAGAGGAGTCAGCTAGCTTGCCCAAGGTCACACAGCTCATTAGGGGCAAAGGTGGATTCACACTTAGGTAACCTGGCTGCTAAAACTGGGTTCTAACCATTTCAATATTCTAGATCCCAGGCCCAACCGTGAATATTAGGGGAGACCCATGTTAATATATTGACTCATAAACTTAACTTTGGCTGCTGTAGCAATTCTGAACTGGGGAAAATGTGGGGACTCTTTTTTGAGAGTTGAGTAGGTAGTAAGAAGTGGAGGCTGCAGAAGGGAGGGAAAAAAAGACTCTTGAGCATGACCAGAAAACTCAATCCAGTCTAACATTCAGAACAAAAGAAAGCTGAGGCACTGGATGGGATTCAGGTAAACCCCTTTCTCCTTCTGAGCAGGAAGGCGGGAGGAGGGCAGGACTTGTGGGGTCCACTTTTCACTTATCTAACAGTTTGGGAGAAACTTTAACAAGATTAACTGCTGCTCAGGGCCTCTGCTCCAGGGAGCAGATTGAGTGTATTGTTTTCTTTTTCTTTCTTTCACACTGGAGGGGTGTGTGTTGGGGGGTGGTTGGAGATGAGGGGCAGGGTTCTGGATCCTGCCTGGTGTGGTACAAAAGCAAAGAGAAATGGCAGAAAGAAGCCAAAGCCCCCAAGTTGAAAGGGAGCCCCACTTGCCACTCCTGAAGGCTGAAGGCTGTACCAGGGTGGTGAGGTGAGAGGCGATGGTGTTTATGGGACACCCTGTCTCAGTGGTGTAGGGGCAAAGTTTGCAAGTGGAGATGCCAGGGATTGAACCCTAGTTCCTGCCACCCAGGAGCAGGGTCATCCAGCACACACCGTCACCTCTCTGTGTCTCTTTCTCACTATTTGGCCAAAAGGATCTGGGTAACCTCGGAGAACCCTGTTCACTGGAGCCTTGAGGAACTCTTCATCCTAAAGACCACCCATCCTTGGTGGTGGGCTCTTGGGAGAACCCTGCACCCTGGCACCTTCTAACTTGGGCTTTGTTTTGCCTTCCTCTGCCTTTCCCTTTTTATTTATTAATACTTTTTTTTTTTCTCCTTCTCTTTCAGGAAAATAAAAGGCGTGTTTTCTGAGCTTCAGAAGCAAACTGGCTCCTTCGCTCCTTCCCCCTGTCTCTCCAAGAGCGCCTGTCTGAACTGGTGTCAGTGAAGTTTGAACTGGGGCAGAAATAGCATCCCGGGCGGATCTGGGAGCATAGCCCGCCTACCAGGAGCGGCGAGGCCTGCCTCTGCCAGACGACAGACCCGGTTAACAGCACCGTAAAATTAGACCTTTACGAAACCCAATTGAATCCTGCAGCAAAGAGTGATGTAAGGCAGCCTGGCCTGACAGCAAGGCAGCAGCCCTCTGCCTGAAATAGCAGCGCGGTCCCCGCTGAGCGATGACTGCTCTCTCAAGATAGGTGACCAGGGATTCCTAGGAAAGTGGCGACGCCCAACCAGAGAAAGCCAGCGGAGGTCACACAGCAAATCGGGCACCTGAGGTCGCAGTGGGAGGATGAGTTTGGGCACCAGATCCCTGCTGCCCACCTCGGTCCTGCCTCTCCCAGCCCAAACTTATATGAAGGAGGGAGCTGAAAAAGTACTTCGGCAAAGAACCTCTGTTTGTTTGCTTTTTAATTCAAGGAGAAGCAGGTTCTTTTTCGCCCAACGGTCTGTACCGTGTGGAGGATACGCAGAATGAGTCTTTTCTGGCGCAGAGCCAGGTGTTTACACACCGCGGAATCTGGCTCGGACTCAACTAGGGGAGGAAAAAAAAAAAATCCACCAGAATCCTCAGGAGAAAAGCTCCTGGCTTTCTGGTGCTACACGACAGCAGTGCCTTTTATTTTTTATTTTTTTCGTTTTGCGAGGAATGTTATTTCCACACATAAAATGGACCAGGCATTTTATACAAGCAATAATAACCTAACGTCCCCCATCCAATTAAAACGTTTTACTGTAACAATCTTTGTGTGAGAGAGTCAATGAGCGCTCAGGAGAACGCTGAGAAGAGAGGCTCCTGGCTGGATTATGGACACTTAGAAAGCAGTCGCCTGTGGGATCCCAGGTGTTTACACGCAGCTGTGTACGCGGATATATAGAACCCAGCCGCTACCTTTTCATTGACGATACCTGTGTAACCCTGGGCTCTCCTCTCTGCAAAGGAAGCCTTCCAAATCACTGGGGAGACAGGGAAAGACTAGGAAAAGCCAGACCTACGCATTTTTTTTAATCACCTCCTAGAAGCGGGCTCTATGTTTTTCACGTTTGGAAAAAGAAGAAAACACAACCCAGCCCTGAATTATCACCATCATCATTATTATATGAATACCACCTCCTCTGCTCCACATTAGACCCTCGTCTGGCTGACTAGGGCTTGGGACGTAAAAGTGAATGAGCTCGGTTTCCCTCTCCCTCCCGGAGGGGGAAAAAAAGGAAAAATAGCATGCGATGACGTCACTCGTGTGTCGGGGTGGGGGAGTCACTCTATTGCTCTCTTTGGGTAGCTGGAAAGTGGGGGATTTGAGGGAGCATATTCTTGGTATAGCACAAGAGTTTGGGTCACCCAAGGGGACTTCACGTCAATAGGATAGTCATCGCATCATTTGCGAAAGTCCAAGCCAAAGAAAGATAGAAAGAAGCAGAACTTCCCGAAAAGCTTAGAGCTCTCCCTTCGAAGAAAGTGTAGGTTTTGAGGGGGTGGGATCGCGAACCCGCCTCCACACGTTTCCTGGCTACAGCGAAGGGGGAACCCCTACTCTCACTTTAAGACGTCCCAGGACACGGCAAGATTGTTTGTGCAGGCAAGGGAATCTCCCAGACAGGGGAGGCAAAACTTTCCTCCTCTCCTTCAGCCCTCTCCCCCCTCTCTGATTCCCAGTTAAAGGCATTTCCACAGATTCATTTGGAGGGGGAAAAATGGATGTTGGAGGATTTCTAAGGTTTGCAACCCTCGCAAAGTGTCCGGTTTCACTACGGGCTTTGCGAAGGGGAGAGAGAGGGAGGGTGAGGAGGGAGAACTCAAATTCATTACGGGCTCATAAAAGTCCCAAACGAGAAAAGCGCCCCGTTTCGCAGCTGAGTCTGGGGAAAGCTGGTGGGGCGAGCACTGGGAAGATCTCGCCCCGGCCTCGAGTGAGGGGCAATGGGCTTTAAAAGCCAGGACATCGGGTGGCAATGTGTGTGGCTTGGGGGCCCGGGCAGGGTTGAATCCCAGAGGCAAGCTTCAAGCAGAGAGCAACTTTGGGGCACTTCGACTACTTCTAAGTCCTGGTGATCACAACAACCTTGTCCTTGCTGGCTTTCAGAGAAATGGGGCCTAATGAAGGGGGTGAAGAGAGTTACTCCATTAAAACGTCAAAGAAAGAAAGGTCTTCTAGCTTCCTTTCACATGCATCCCAATTGGGTCATTCTCCCCCTCATCCCAAAGGGAGACAGAGTGCGTCTGACCATCCCGAGCGTGGGTTACATGCATTAAGCTCCCCGGGGACCAGCCCTCATTGACGAAGGGTCTCAGGGCCCCCGAGAGTGCTCCTCACTCTCCTCCCGGAGGCCCGGCAGCGAAGCCTCCCGAGTGCGCCCATTCCGCCGATGGGGCATAGTGAGGCTCTCAGCTCGGGTGTCTCCGCGCCGCTCGCGGGGCGGCTCCCACACAGACATACCCGTAAGCCCCCGACCCGCCATCCACCCGCGCCCAGGCTCCCGCGCGACTCTGGGGCCGCCGGGACGGTGCAGCGCCCGCCGGGGCACCCTCGCCTACCTGTGATCACCGCCGGAGACCTCTGGCCCCCCTCCGCTCGCAGCCACACTTGGAGCGTGAACGCGTCCCGGGGCAGCTCGAGGTCGGCCCGGAGGCGCAGCTGCTCGCCTCGCCCGCTGAA